CACCTGGACCCCATCCAACCCTACCCTCCTGCCCTTGCTTGGGTTTCTAATACCCTCCATGATCAAACTTCCCCAAGGAGCCCTGTTACTCCTCTGGCCTCATTGAGATTTCTGTCTGTGTCGGGCCAGCATAGGTCCTACGCTAAGACAGAGAAAACCCTAATGGGAAGATAGGGTCCAGCCAGGTAATTGGAAGATTTTTGAAGACCTTGTGCCTTATAAACATCATTGTGTTCTCATTTGAATTTAAAACAAAAACTAAACTGCAAAGTAAAAGCTAATTCAACAAAGTTGACTATGTGGATGCTTTATTTCAACCAGAAAAAAAACAAATTTTAGAATGTTTCATTTTGTGGTACTTCTCCGTGCTTGGTCCACCTGTTGAAGGATTTACTACTGATACCCTGTTGGGCCCGAGGTCCCACTGAAAAGGTTTGGCTCTAAATGGAGCTTTTTTTTTTTTTTAATTTTTATTTTCGGTGAATACAATATCTTTATTTTATTTGTATGTGGTGCTGAGGATCAAACCTAGTGCCTCGCTTGTGCAAGGCGAGCACTCTACCTCCTGAGCCACAACCCCAGCCCTAAACAGAGCCTTTTAAGGAGCAACTGAGGTTAAGGTCAAGGGTAACACCACATGTGCTGCTGAAAGCTGGGTCCTCGTCCCTGATGCCAGTCCAATAATGAGGGCGCAGTTTTGAGAAAAAGGTTCATTGCTTTGCTAGCAAAGGAGAGACACAGGGGCCTCCTGTCCCAACAGCTGTGATTCTGCCCATCAGCAGGAACAGGAAGTTTTTAAAGAGGTCCTTCAGAGAAAATGAGATTAGGGAGGAGAGATGAAGAAAGAGAAGGTGAGGGAAAAGAAGATCAGGGAGGAGAAGTTTGGGAAAAAGAAACAAACATGTCAGTTTCAAAGCCACAAGGGGTATAGTCAAAGCATCCAGTGAAGCACTGTTACACAGGGACTCATCAAGTGAGAGAGAGAGAGAGAGAGAGAGAGAATGAATGAATGGCAGGGCCATACCAAGACTAGCCAGAGGCCAAGACTAGCCAGAGGCCAAGACTAGCCAGAGGCCAGCCTGGAAGAGAGCAACACTAGGACACCCCAAATGTCCCTCGGTCAAAGCCTGGAAAGTGTGTGGTCACTTCTTATGGAAAACAGGAGGAAATGAACATGCATGTCTACTGAGCAGAGAGCACCAGATTTGAAGGTCGTCTTGTTGGCTCTTTGGGTAGGGTTTTAAAAAGAAAGAAAAAGAAAAAGAAAAAAAAGAAATGTATATATTTTTCAATTGCGGAAGACCCATGTCTATGGTATATGACTGATAGAGCTTTGTAAAAATTCAACAAGTAAAACCTAGCCTAGCAGCCAAGGCCTCCCAGCCTCAGGCTGCAGCTTCTCTCTTCCCTTGCTCTCTGCACAAGCAAAGCTAAACATGGAGCACCTTCTTCCAGGCCCCCTGTCCTCCCTTTACATCTGTCCACTCCTCCAGGTGCAGGGCAAGGCCAGAGGGCCTGCTCCCTTCCCCACTCCATGTCAGCAACATGGAGGAGTTTCCATCTTATTCTACAATCTAGGATTTTGCCTTATTTGCCCTCTGAATATTTTTTGTACACATCCACCCTTCCTGAGGAGGTTGTAAATCATAATTATGTACTAAGGCATGGTTGGTAATCAATTTGGGAGCATTCTACTTGGTCCTCGGGGCCTAACCCAAGGCTTCTTCCTCCCTTGCTCCCTCCCCCGCTCCCCCTACCCAAGGAGTCACTCCATCCTCCTTGGCAGATCTCATACTTTCTTGTCCCTGAAGGGTCTTCACTGAAGGATCTGCCTTTCTCCTTGCCCGGGAGCTTCTCCTGGTGACCACTCAGCTGGGTCTCCCCTACAACTCCCAACAACCCCCACTGCATGGAAAAGGGCCTGCCATGCAATAGATGCTCAAGTGAATTAGACGCACGCTGTCTTCGGCATTCCAATTTTACCTATAGAAATATAACTCGGGGGCCTCCATTTCCTCTCTTTTTTAGAAAAACGAAATCTAGATTTTTTTCTGGGGGGAGCAATGGAAGAGTTGGAATTTCAGAGCTGCTTTGCTCAACCTGGAAACAAATTCATAGACATGCTATAAAATAAATTTCTTTAAAAAAAATGTGAAAATTCTCCACTTTTAAATGGAATAATATAGTTACTGACAAAGAGAGGTTAGAAATGTTAATTAAATCCAAATCTAGATATTCAAGCAGATAGCTATTATGTAAGCTTAATTATTTAACTTTTTAGCCTGTCTGATGCTGACTCATGTTCAGCATTAAGTGTCTTTCAAATCACAAGCTCTTCTGCCTGTCAAACTTTTCAATGCCTGGAGATATTTCTATTTCATCTCCCTCTCTTGTCAGACTTTGCGGTTTCCACTGTCGTCCAATTAAGCGCAAACACTGATTCTTAGATAATTTGTTCAATTCCACAGGAACGCAGTAGTCTAGGAGGGAATTTTAACGACAAGGGAATTCAGTTCTCATTTTCTTCCTTTCATTCCGAGAACATGAGAATTCATGGAGGTTTCTGGGAACTACACGTGCCTGCACTCAGTGCTCAGAGCTGGTGCCTGGCCACGTGTGCTCAGAGAGAAAAACATGAAGATTGCATGTCAGCTCAAAGTTCAGAGGAGCATGGTTGTTGAGACAATTGCAGGGATTCCTCAGTGCATCCTCCTCTTGTATAGGTAGGAGCCATGACCTCTGCAAGAAAAAATCACTGCCCGGGCTCACACAGAGCTCCAAATGCACTGTCTGCTAATTTTCCTTAAACATCTGCTGCTTTGGGATCTATAGAGTTGGATGTGGCCATGGAATATTCTAATCAGACAATTTCACCTTGCTTAGAGATCTTCTCTGAATTTTCTCTCCTCCATTTTCATTGTGTCTAAAATCTCCTCTGTGCAGCAATGGTCTATAATCCAGACACAGATCATAAACCAAAGAATCAGGTCAATTGAAGCCGAGCAGACAACCACGTGCAGAGAGCTGACTTTACCTCCAGCTCCTCTGCAAATGCCAACTCAGGACTCTTCAAGTAGATGTTTTGTTGTCAAGTTGACAACTGGTAAGGCTCCTGGTTAAAAGAAGATACTTTCGATTAAATGGTTCAAACCAGAGTTGGCCTGAGAAGTGCACAATGTTCCTCATCCACCTGTCCCTGGCTATTTCCTGAGATTCCTCGAATAGGAGTTATTTAGAGAAATACAGGTGGTAAAGGACAAGAACTTGGCTGTGAGCTGAGAACTCCCATTAGAGGCATTTCTGAGTAAAACCAGAACAAGTTGCTTAAATAAAACCAAATATACATCTTCTTGTAATTACTACCATTTTCCCAATAAATTACCCTGTTTTACAAAGATATATAATGATGGAACTTTTTTACGGTAATTGAATGAATGAGAGATACCTCTTATTGGGCTTTTACTACAGGTGTGGTTGTCTATTAGTCTTTTATATAAATGTGATGCCTTTTAATAAACCTTGAGGTAAATATTTCTTTCCCGATTTACAGATGACAATTTTGAGGTGCACTGAGATTAAGGAACTGTCTCAGAGGGATGGACCAGAAACAATTCTGTTTTCAAGGATCTCAGGGGAGTAAATTATTATTTCCTTTCCCCTTAAGCTGCACATGTCTTTGCATTTCTACACCCAAAGTACGTGCTTAGCCAACATATGTGGATCAACTGATGTGCATGGGAGTAGGTACCCCAAGTCCCTCTGCAAGTGCGCTTTCTCCTGGTCTCACAGGCATCCCACAGGCAGAGAGGCATTGCTCTGTGCTTTCCGTTGGCTTTGAGCAAGTCCCTGTTCTGTCTAGGTTTCAAAGTCTCTACATGGAAAATAAAACCATACCACCTGCCACACTTAGGTGATAGGTATAATTAAATGAAAGCATCTCACAAAAAAAGCATCTCACAGAGATCACACAACTGAAGCACCACCATCATGATCTAGGGCCACAAGCCATCAGAGAATGAGGGACCTCAGAGCCAGAAAGGAAATTCAGTGTTCTATTTTAGTAGTACTGGGAGATTTTGGAAATGGTACTACCCTTTTTATACTACTGTTGTGCAAAATACCACTAGAATAACAAACAAACATCCAAAAACATGAACTCAAGAATATTTTCCACTCACTCTACTTTATAAATCACTGATGGATCAAATCCAGTCTTCAAGATTCGATAATCAGAAAACTGAGTCTCCAGAAGACTCTGAGGTTGTTCTATGAAGCCAAAACATAACACTTATGAAAAGCAGAATGCTTATCCCCTAAGATCAGTGGCTATAAATTCTAGTACTTGAATATGAATGGTGGAAGTATTCAGGTACTAGAATTTATAGTCACTGCAATAAGACAAAAGGAAAAATAAGAAAAGGCCAACAAATTGGAAGAGAAAAAGTTTCTCTGCTTTTGCAGATGACATAGTTTTCTATTTAGAAATCCCAAGGCATATTAAAGGAAATAAATAGGTAAAAAATAATTTTAAGAACCTTCTGAAATGAATTAGTGATTTCAGCAATGTCACAGAATATAAGAGCAACACAAAAATTGTATTTACATATACTAACAATTTATTGATAAAAATTTGAAAAAATGATCCCAAGTTATACACTGCATTATTGAAATATTTTATGATTCCTCTCTTTATTCACATTAAGTTGCTGAAATGACCACATTTTAGATATGGAGAACAGATTAGTGTGCCAGGGATTAAGGGCGGATGTGGGTGGGGCCACAAAGGGACAAATGGGAAATCTTGAGATGAAGAAAACGTTCTTTATTGTCGATCAATACTCTGGTTGGGATAGTATATTGTTTTTCTAGAAGTTACCACTGCAGGAAACTAGGTAGAGGCACATGAGATATCTGTTATTATTTCTTTTAATTTAATTTTAAATGAAAAGCTTAATTTTGAATACACACAGTTTGGATATTATAAAAAAAGTACAATACAATATTAGTTACAATTTTTATTGTCGTTCTTACTAGTAAAAGTAATATTAAAGAGAAAGATTGAAAGGGAGTAAACATTACGAAAAAAATGAGAAAGAATTTTAAGCACAGACAGGATCATCCAGCCATGGTTCGGCATTTTGGCTGTGGGGGTCAGAGTGGAGGAGTCAGGCCGCAGGGGCTGTCCAGGGTCTCCCCAGCTCTCCTGAGGATGCTGTGGGTAGAAGGCTGTTGGAGGGTGGATAAGGGCACCTGTGCTTCTGTAAGGCACGGGAGGGAGGCTGAGTTCCCCAGCAGCCTCCTCTGCAGTGAAGGGAGGGCCGGGTGAATCGGCAAAACCACGGACCAAATACTCCACCAGCATCCACCAGTGGGCTCTGGGCTTCTTCAAGACAGCTGGGAAACATGGTCTGCTATGTCGGGGGTGACTAAGCAAGTGCCACTCTGCTCTGGCTGTGGTGTGGAGAAGGACAGGGTGGGCTGGAATGGGTCTGGAGACTGGGCCATGGCCTCAGGGTCCTGTGGGGTCTAGTCGGAGATGCTAGGAGCTGGATAGGATGCAGGGGCTGAGGTTCCTCTTTTAGGAGAACGAAACTTGTGTTTTGGGGGTGTTTGCAAAGAAGCAAAGGAGAAATTGATCCTTCTCCTGTTGGAGAGAATGTATGGAGTTTTTGCAACGAAGGAGGTGGGATTCAAGAGGAATCATTTGAGCAAAAGACATTAAAAGAATAGGAATGGATGGCTGGGATGGAGCATTAAGAAGCCAGCGTGGGCTCGGGCACAGTGCAGTCTCTTCCTTTGAGATATGGAAAACGCAGGGACGAGGAGGAAAAGCCAGGGCAATCCGAGGCTTGCTGAAGGGGGCATCTAGTGAGACTGAGAGCAGGACAAAGTCCCGCTCCACCCAACTTCTAGAGGAAGAATCCAACTCCTTCAGAAGTTCTCTAGCATGTTCTTGTCCGAGATGCTCCACTTAGAGGAAGAAAATTCACAAGAGAAATAGCTCTTAGTGGACTGGGATAATTTTTTTCCAGTAAATTAACTTACATTTTGTGACATTAAGAGAATCATGCGTTCCTCAAGTTTAACAGCATTTGCTTAGCTGGAGTGATGTTTTTCATGATGGATTCAGAAAAGCCCCTCTTACCTGTCTGGTCTCCTCCAGTTTACAAACTCACTTCACACTGAAGCCGGAACTCAAGTTCTGCTGCCCTCTTTAAGAGGTGAAGAAAATTTAGAGCAAGAGTCACAGCCCAACTAAAAGGAGGCTAGAATATGAACTTCCTGGCTACTGTTCTCTCATTTGTGACTCTTTGAATGAGAAAAGAGGTTTGTAAATGACTTCAATTTAACCCAGTCCCCAACATGGTTGCTGACTCTCCTCAGAGGGAAAGTCTGGGAACAGCACCCCCCAGGGACTTGTGGGTTCTGTCCAGTCCAGAAATTAGAGCTAATGGGTCAGAGTTGGTAGAAGCTGAGGTACAGGCTCCAGAAATAAGACTGTTATTAAATCAGAGAAGCCAGTTGAGGAGTGCAGGTAAGGGTAGGAGTCTGGAATCGAGGGTCCCTTGGAACAAGCAGGGGACTGTAGGAAGCCAGGGGTAGCCTGGAATGGGGAGGGGGGAAGGTACACAGAGGGCACATGCAGACTTTGAATGGCATATGGGCCCTGAATGTTCTCAACTTTTAAAAATCTTGTTTGGCTACGACTTTGAAACTGTGTCTAGGTATTGCCTGCCTGCTGTTCACCAAGTCTATTATTGATGGTAGAAAGGAATAGAAAGCCTCATCCTATCAGCTATTTAAAAATCTTTAGCCCTGATGTCCTAATGCTACACTTGGGCCATGTTTGACTCTGGTCCAATGAGACTGGACTGAACTCTGCCACACCTTCCGAGTGACCTTAGCTATTTCCTTTCCCCTCCCTTGTGGAAGAAATGAAGGCTTTACACTGGTCTCTCCTCAGCACCTTTGAACTTCTGGCATGTTCTCACTAACATGGATGGGCTTGGAACAGGCAGTCAGTGCCATGAACCCCACTTCCCCTCTCACCCCAGCGCCCAGTACCATAGCGATGACCCTCAGGGACTCTGCGAGCCACCGAGGCTCCCCATTCCCTCGCTTCCTTGTTGGCCTGGGGGACCCAGAGGGCCGCTCACCTTCTTCCCTGGACGCTACAGGACAAGTTTATTTCTGCATGCTTCTAACATCCTCAGAGCCAGCCTCCTGAGCTGGGACAGGAAGCCAGGTGCCCCAGGTCAAGCACAAGGAGCGGCCAGTCCTGTTCCTGGCTGTGGTCTGATTAGCACAGGCTGCTCTTGTCCTGACATCATGCCACAGTGAGTGACCTCTGCGGTCTCCCAGAGATGGGGACGATTACATAACCGGAGCAATTATGCAAAAGGAGTTGGGCCTGCAGCCTGGAACGGAGGGGAAGCACTGAGGACAAAGACAGAGGAACCATTCAACTGGATCCAGCATCCAGGCCACAGCACAAATCACTCTCAGGAAACTTCCGGGCTTCTCCTGGGCTCTTCTGAGGCATCCCATCACCTCATCCTAAGAAGACAAACAGTGACTTCAAGGTCAGGCCACCTCTTTGATTTACTTGGTGAAATGTTATAAATGTAAGTTGTGCAGGTTCTTATTAGGATTCCTTTCTAGTCATTTAACAGGATTGAAGGAACTTTAAGGAAGAGAGGGCTCACCCAGTGCACCCTTGGCCAGGCTCTGCAAGACCCATTCTGTCCCATAGTTCGGCTCAGTGGTTCTGGGCAAGGTTCTTTTCCCCTCTGTGCTTTGACTTCGACCCGGTGAGAGTCACTAACTCACAGAAGCAAACAGTGGATCCTGCGGCTGTACCACTTCAGGTCCATGCATCTGAAATACAGAGGTTTTGTCTCAAGAAGGAGCTGGGATCCATTCTAGTTTTACCCTCTCCTAAAGAAAGACCTGCTTGGCCCACCGTGAACTGGAGACGGTGCCAGCCCGCATCTCAGGCTGGAAATCAATGACTGTGGAGGAAGAAGCATCTTATAGGCTGCACAGTGAGGCCTAATGTAAGGGGCTATTTATACAGGAAAAATGTGCTTATGGTAAACAAAAACTTGACAGCTAGAAATCTAATCCGTCTCTGATTATTAAGGTTCAAAATGACCCTGGAGTCTCTCTCCAGTGCAATATTTGGCTGAGTGATATTCTTAAAGTCTCTATTGGATTATACATATGCCAGTGACTTTTGACCAGGTAGTGATAGAACAGAGTGAGAACTTGGTGCAGATTCCTTGCCCCATATATATTCATTCTAAAGGTAGTACTTGGGGGTCTTGATGAAAGAACCCCTAGAAATAGTATATTCCAGACTCTCCATTTCCTGCTAAAGAGAAGGGAGCCCAAGCAATTTAATGATTTTCTCTGTATCATACAGGAAGTTGGTGGAAGGGCTAAAATGACTCTCATCTGCTCTAGGCAATGGGAAACTTTTGGGTCTTCTAGCCCTAACTTTGTATCTGACCATTCTACTTTCCCTTACTGCACAGAATTTTCTGTAATTTGCTACTCTAGAGTAGAACTAAGGATGGACAATCCAAATAATATTCACTTTTTAATAAGTACATGTATAGCCATCAGTGCTGCCAATATGGAATGCCACCTTAGGAAACCAGCTCCTGCTTACTGGATTTGTTCTAGAGGTTGGATTATGTCAGATGGAGGTGGAGATGCTGAGCTGGTTCACTGGACCCCATCTAACATTCCTAAGTAATGATACTTCATTCCTAATCCAATAGCCCTCATGGATGACTTAAGTATAACTACTTGATAGGTCAATTGAACAAACAAATACCCAATCACATGCCTTCATGTGAAGGAGACTCACATTTACATCTGGTGCCAGAACTTACTGATGGTGTGAATTTAAACTGGTCTGAACTGGTTCAAACCAATTTGAACCTGTCTGATGTTTCTGAATATTCAAGAATGCCCATGCAGCAGGGACTATCTATGAGTTCCTGAAGACTGCTGTAACAAATTATCACAAATTGGGTGGTTTCAAATACAGAATGTCTTCTCTCATAATTCTGTGAGCTAAAAATCTGTGGTTCAGGAGTACATTCTCCCTCTGGGGGCTTGGGAGAGAATCTGTCCCTTACCTCTTCCAGCTTCTGATGGCTGCCCCAGCATTCCTGGGCTTGTGGTCACATCACTTCAATCTCTGCCTTCATCTCCACATTGATTTTTTCCTCTGTGTGTCTGTGTGTCTAAGGACATTTTTATTAAATTGACAACACTCCCAGATTATCCAGGATGATCTCCTCATTTCAAGGTGCTTAATTTAACTACAACTGTAAAGACTCTTTTGCAAATAAGGTGACATTCACAGCTTCCAGTGGTCGGGATGTGGACATATCTTTCAGAGGATCACCATTCAACCCACTAGGGAGAGTGTACTGAATGTGAGCCTAGTGAATGCCTGCCATACAGAGATGGACCTCAGAGAATGCCAGTGGACCCTCACACAGGCATCTAGGGGAGAATCTAGCTGCCTATGTTCCTCCAACACGGGTTTCCACCTAGGTAACTAGGCTGCTGTTGAACCTACAATCAGCTACCATTCATTGTGCATCTGCTGTAAATCTGTGGACTTAGATGCTGGCCCTGGTTAGGTCCTCACAACTGTGCAACTGGAAACTGAGGCCAAATCCCTTGTGGGGCACACAGGCTGTGAATGGCAGAGCCTGAAGTCAACCGCAGGCAGGCCAATTGCTCTCTAGATGCGCATGCTGTCTCTCCCACATGAGGAAGCAGCCCCTGAACAGATCCAATGTTTAGCTGATTCTGGCTCCTTCAGGAGTGTCCCTTGCTGTGAACAGCCAATGAGAAGGCAGGGCCTGTCTTGTTGTCCTGGTTTCTAGACCAACCAATCCTAGATGCAGAACAGTCCTCAGAAAATATTCTCAGCTTTTCCCAAAAACATGTATGCATTTTCTAGCTTTGGAAAAGTCATCTTATGCATAATATAATTAGACTACTAATCAAATTTTTTCATGAAAATGTTTTCTGAAAGGGTTCACATTATGAATTATGGGACACTTGCTTTTACTTGTCTCATCTTATTTAAAAACAAGGAGTGCCATGATTAGACGTCTCTTACATGAATATTTGGGCTTTTCCAAAGAACACTCCACTGAGGAGTGAAGTGTTTGGAAGCAGTTTTAATCCAGCACGAGACCGGAATTTGTAGTTCAGTAAAGTTAGTTGATGGAAAAAAATTCAGATATCTGTGGGTTTCAAGGCTTGGAATAGTTTTCACAACTGGTGATTCTATTCCATTTTGGTCTACTCCCTTCTAATTTTCTCAGTAGGGCCATAGTGGGTGTAGGCAGTCCCTGTGAAGATCAGAAGGCAGTGATGCTTTGGGCCACAAGTTCATCTTTCTGCAGTCCTCTTGGTCTGAGTTAGGAAAGACTACTCTTAAATAAGGTGCAAACAGTTTGGTACAGGCAATTTTGAAAGATCCCACAGGAATCTAAGCACTACAATTCCGGAGGAACAATGATGGTTGGAACACACTCAAAGAAGAGACGAGACCAGAATTAGCTGATCTCCTCTGGAGACCAGGCTGTAGGAGATGTTGTTGAAGGGCATGGTGGTGGTCCTCCAATCTCTAAGTTCAGGCATCTGTAGACAATCTGCTAAATCTCAAGGGATAAAAAGAGGACCAAAATAGGCAAAAGGTGCAAGAAGACAGCAGATGTTAAGTTCCAGCATCCAGGGGGTTCCCACATAGCACACCCCCAAAATATCTTTAATGAATGAATGAATGAATGAAAGCCTGGGAATGGAAAAGGCTTTGGTGTAGAAAAATCACATTTTCAGTCTAATAAACCCAGCTTCGGTCCGCTAGCTCTTAGATGCATGTATTTGGGTGAGTTACTAAAGATTTTTGAGTTGAGGATAATGACGTTCTTTTCCCAGGACTGTCATGAAGGTTAAAATTAGACGAGGTCTGGTGTGTGGAAGTATTTCTAGGTTAGGCTTGACTAGGGCACACAGAGAGCTAAAGAGGAGGCTCATGGTCCAGGCAAGAGCAGATGTGGCAGGTGTAAGGACGCAGTCACAGACGCTGCTGAGAAGGCACCTGCCGCAGGCCCCACTGAAGCACTGCTGTGTGTGATGATGGCCTTGGGCCACGTGATAACATGGGATGGCCTTAAACCACATGTGGGAAATGTTGAAGGCGTGGAGGAGGTGCTTGTAAACCGCTTTTAATTTTTTTTTTTAAATGTGTTTTTTTTTTTTTTTTTTTTTACATTTTTGCTTTGGTCCTAAGCAGGAAATTTTCTTAGGTGAAATAGTTCTTTCTCCAAATGAGAGTTTAGACCTTAGTTCTTCGAGTAGTTGGTGTTCACTATGATTCTATGAAGCAAACGCTGTGCTGTTGAAATCAATAGTTTCTGTTTCCTAAACGTGAAATTAGGGGACACCGTGTTAGTTCTCCATCAATTGAAAAGGCACGTGACTTTCTCATCACCTTCAAGGTCGAGGCTGGTGCGGAGCCGGGGCTTCTGGTTCCTCCCCACACACTCAGTTCTCACCTCCTCCTCAACCCTCTGCCCCAGTGATTCACAGCTCTGAGGAGCTTCTCCAGACTCCACCACAAACCTACAGTTTTTTACTTTCTGTCAGTTTTTGACTCTTGTACCCACTTCTACCACAGCATAAGTGAAGTCACAGTAGCCCCATTTAAGAAGGGCCAGCCGGTGACCACGGGTGCACATAGGGCTCTGCACACTCTGCCTTACGCAATCCTTTCCGTAACTTTGGGAGTCGGTGTTATTTTCTTCATGTCACAAAGAGCTGAGGAATCTTCCTGATGTCACACACCTGACAAAAGACAGAGCCTAAAACTGAGCTGAAGTTTGTCTGTGTCCAGTCATTTCCTCCACTTTACATTACACCGCGTCCCTTCTCACTGGGCTGGGAACAGGCTTCAGGGCAGATACTGCAGCTAATTCGCTTCCTTGTTTTCTGGAGAGCCTGGGCTTTGGTGGGTGCTCTGGAAATTGTGTTAGTAGTATTAAAAGGGCTTCCTAAGTAGTGACTCCTAGGGAGGAGTGGCACACACACACACACACACACACACACACACACACACACACTCAGCCTATTAAGGAAACCTTTGCAGCCTTGCCAAATGAACACAGAGCCCCTGCTGTCTGGCCAGAGGATCCCAGCAGCCTCCTGACGTGACTTCTGCCCAGCCAGCACCGTACCAGGATTAAGACAGAAATAAGGATGGAGCTGCTCTCGGACCACCGCA